TTCTAAAATGTAAATCATAGACTCAAAATTCTTCAGAATTCCATGGAGAATGAATATTAATTCCAAAATTAAATTTAAATCTCTGTGAAGAGAAATAACTTTTACATAAGTCAATTTTGAGACAGAAAACTGAAGTATTTTTGGATAACAATCTGCTCCCTAAAGTTCATCAATGTTTTAAAAGATCATGAGAATAGGTCCCATAGAAATCACAGGACTATCAAAGAAGGCTTGGATCAGGCTGACGTATGCTTGGGCTCTCATTAGAAGTTGTTTCAAACAACGTCTATGAACATAAAATAATGACTATACACATAAAATAATGACTAATGACTTCCATTTTTTAGAAGTCACTTAAATTACAGGGTCAGAGATCTGGTTCAAACATCCTAAAGTTGAATGCATTCTTATTACCTATATGTCTTAATGTGCCAGCATTTAAATTAAAAATGTTGTCTCTCGAATGGATTTTTATTAGTCTGTAATAGTATATAACCTAGATTTATCTTCAATAAAGTTAAGACTATTTTAGTTCTGCAAACATGGAAACATGATATTTCATTATTATATTTACTTTTGTATACTCCATAACATAAATTTACAATATTTTCTAAGTCTCTGATCCCCGGTGCCTGAAAACTTTTAGGTAGGGGCTGTTTCAGGTCTTTTGGTACCTTTAGAAGCAAAGCAACCAAAATAAGGATTGCCTTCAGAAATAGGACTGTGGAGAGTCCTAATTTGCTGGCAGGGCCCTATATTCCAGCTGTAAATACTTTAATGCCACTTATAGGCTCAGGTTTTTCAAATGTAATACACTGCATCATTAATTTTGCAGTCTCATCTCTGAAAGCTATAAATTGAACATTCTTATTGGCTTAATTTTCTGTAACCTTTAATAACATTTGAGAAAGAACATAGGAAAGAAGAAATTGGTATTAGCTGTATGACCAATACACTCAAGGAATATTTTACAGAAACTCCTCTTTCTCTTTTTCCTAAAGCAGAGGCTAGAAAGGCAGCGTGTTTTAGACATCCAAAATTTGCTGATTAGAATCCAGGGAAATAAGCTCAAAAGCTTAGTTACCAGTTTGGATCTTCCAAAGAGGATCCTGGTTCAGGTTTCCCTTGTCTGTGCCAGAGAGTATTCTCTTTTTAAAATATGATGTTCCCCAAACACTGGTCACATATTTGGGCTTAATAAGATTATGCCAGGAAAGGATGGATTTGAAAACTGGTTATCCGTGAATGAATCCCAGAGTCTTTTAACTTACTTAGGCATTCGCCTGGCACTTGGCAATCAAAGGCAAAATGAATCCTTCAAAGCAAAGGGACTGACACAACTGGTGACCGCAGGGGGCCTCATCTCATTCAGGGGCTCACAGAGAGCCAAGGTGATAAGTTTTTGATGAGGAGAGGGTTACAGGTCACACATGTACTCTCAGTTGCCTAGTTATGTTGCTATATCATAATCTATATAGCATTATTATTTTGTTGTATAATATATAATAACACATTATATAATGCTGCATATGATGTCATATAATAATTATGGTTCTCTGACTTAATACCCAGGCAAGGACAGCCTGCAAGTAATGTGGTTATGGACACATTGTCTCTAATTATGCCAACCCTAATGAAAAGCTGTTATTACACAAATCTTGTATAGATGAGAAAATGAAGGTCAGATAAATTAAGTGATTTGCATAAGAACACATGTCTTCTGGCCCCCAAATGTTACACTTTATGCCATACTACAATTCACTTGTTAGACTTATCTGTTGTTGTTGTTGTTTTAATGATAGCTTAATTAAACTCTGAAGAATATTATTTATAAACAAAAGTACAAAGCCACTCTCTCTTCTAGAACAAGAATGATCTTGGGCTGTTACCAGTTTTAACCCCTATGAGAGTATGGACAGGATATGCATTGATTCTGTGAGCCTTGCCTGCTCCTCCTTATTCTTTTTTTATTTCTGACTGGCCCCCTGAGAAGCCTAGAAACCAGGGGTTCCTTGTCACAGGCACTTGATAAAATGTGTGTCCAAGTCCCTGGCTAAGCAGCTCCCACTGATTCTTTCAGAGAAAGTTCATTTGACATTAAAACAGGGCAGGCATTGTAAAAACATCAGGCAGTAGAATTAAGCTAAAGTTTGCACTTTGAGGAGACACTGACAGATGAACAGGGTCATTATATTTGAAAGTTTATTTTCTCTCATTCTTTTTTTTTTATCAATTATATCTGGTCTTATTCCAAAAAGGATTTTGTGGTGGGACTTGAAAGAAATATATTTGAATCTGAGTTTAACAAGACATTGATTTACATAAGAGATAAGTAGGGAAAAGAGGAAGTCTAGAAACATGTGATGTGTTTCTCAAATACATTGAAATCGAAGAGTTCTTTTCGAATTCTACATACTGTAAATTTCTAATATACCTTTAATTGTAAATAATTTGATCTAGTATTAAAGATATCTGCTTAAGTAAAATAAGTATACATGATTTTGTGAATATAATAAAATATCCATAATTATAAAGCAGGATTTATTAAAATGAAATTATTTTTGTAGTAAAAATACTCATGTAATTGAAAATCCTCTGATAAGATTTTTCTAGCAGAATTGGACTAGGGTGGAATAGCTACTTTGAAGAATAGTTTTATGTTTTTGTAACTGAAATGCTCCAATTTTATAATAGGGTCCTCCGAAAATACAGAAAACTGCATCCAGGCATTGTTGTGACAGGCTTCTAAGATAAGTAGAAAATGAAGCTGAAGCTAATACTTTTCCCTTCAAATGTCAGAAAAATATTAAGCAGAAAAATAGCTTACATGTAGAATTCTTGATGTATGCATTTAGAAATATTCCTAAAGAAATGAGCAAGTTTGGGACCAATTAAGGACTATTGTATGAACCATAAATTTCCTGCATTGATAAAATCTTAATATGGACATATTCCTAAGGCAACCAGTTCCTTTGTTAAGTGTATGAACATTTATGAGTTAAATAAAATATAATGAGGAAGCAGTAGGAACCAGTTGTCTTGTTTAACGGTCTGGAGCTCCCAACAAGATTCATCTGTTTTTGTGACAACAATATTTATTCCTCTTTATAGGTTTCCTTGAGGATAAGGGATATTCTAATTGTCTTTTGAAATCACCGATTTTCTTCTTTTCTAAAAGGATACAAAAACGATGCCTAGATATAAGTTCTAGACTTTATAGTGCAGCCAACAAAAGCATTAAAACAATGTTGCAGTAGCTGCTACTCCTAGGTACTCAAGCAAGAAAAGGAAGATGGGTTGAGGCTCACTACCATGATGACCAAGTACAGAAACAGGTGCTTATGTGGGGAAAGGCTACACAGGGGCAGCTTTCACAACAGTAAAATGAAAATTGGAATGGTATGTGTATCACAGATGGACGGAGGATTACTGAGAAAATATTTGTGAATCACACACTTAAAAAATGTGAACTAAGAGTTTTGGGGTGGCTGTTCCCTGATTCTTCCACTTCTTTCATAACTCAACTTGATTATTTCTCTCTCCCCTGTCCCCATCTCTCAATTTCTATCATCTCTATCTCTATCATTTTTATCTCTATCATCATCTCTATCTCTATTATCTATCATCTCTATCTCTATCTCTATCTCTGTCTCTATCTCTATCTTTATCTCTCCCCCAGTTAAGTAGAATCAACACATAAGGGATGCACTTGGACTTTCTTTTATCATCCTTAATTGAACAATGTACACATGTGGAGTCATTCTATAACTTCATGGATATTTGATGCTGCTCTACAGTCAAAATATGAATTATGAGGGAAGAATATTTAAGTAAGACTTTTCCACAAAGTAGGAGTACTGTTACTAAAACATTAAGTTTGAACAGTAAGAGACTCAATTATTAAAACCCAGTTATTACTTTGCTCAAAGAGTAATCATCATACCTAATTGTCTACATGACCTATAGCTCTTTGGATAATTTGGACTGGATATCACTACAAGCCCTCCATTACAAGCATTCTTACGCTCACAAAGCCCCAGTTTGAAGTCCTTTATACTAAATATGTATATTATTAAACATATAATAGGTCCTACAACTAAAAGACAGCTAAAGACTTCCTGAGGATTCCAAGATATCCTGAATAGCCTGTGGTGGAGCAGACTTAGCAGCAATTTAATAATAATATCAAAAACAGTGATTCCAAACAAAGGACTGTTTGTGGCAGGAACTGCAATACACTCAGATTCTTGTTTGATTTTTTTCTTGTATGCACAATAAGTAGACCATGTTGTAGAATTTTCATGCTGCGTTTCACTAATTCACTAACTTATTTACATGACTGCCAGCAATTAACTTCAAATATTGATTGGTACCCAAATCATGAGAAATACGAAACTTCAAAGTTCACAAGAAAAGAGAAAATTGGACTCACATTGTTTCTAAAAATTCGTGCTCTCAATGAACAGATGTGTATCCACTGCCTATCAAGAGATCACCAAAAACTTGCTAATATTTTTGCTAGGGTAAAGTTGGATTCATTTGAGCTCATCTATGATTTCCAAAGCTTATAGAATAATATTTTTTAAAACATAAATGCATCAGTCTAAACCACTTATCAGTGCTTAAAAATATTCATCCTAAACCAATTTTAAAAACTGACTGAAATCATAACAGGAAGTATCTCAAAAGGTAGAATTATTATCAAGAAAAGAGCAAACTCAAAACCTACTAATACATTCAAAAGACTAGTTTTTAAAAACGTTACAATTTAATTATTGGAAGCTTATAGAACTGCTTCAGTGCTTCTGTATTAAGTAAGCTGTACGTGTGAGGAGTAATAAATGAAATTGTTAATTTTACTGTTTCCCTGGGGAGTAGCAGAAGGGGTGGGAGTATGCTATTTAGCTCTCCAAATGGATCATGGTTTATGTGCAATAATAAATCCTAAATGTATTGTAATTAACTCTGCTTAGCCACTCCCTTTTTTGTAGGGCTCTTAAGACTCCTGGGATCACTCACCGTTCATATTCTTAAAGATGTTCAGGATGGGGAGGATTTGACGGTAATAGGGCACCAAAGCCTCGCCCACCATCTCAGCGGACACCACCAGATGCTGGAGGACTTTGAGAGTGACACAGATGACCTGTCGGTTCCGGAGGTTCAAGGCATCTGTACGGTAGGAAAAGGAGCAAGCAGGAAGTAAAAAGCATTAATTCTACAATGTTAAGGCGAAGTTGTCTTGTGGATACGTTTAATTAAACTGTGCTCTACTGGGGATCACCAATGGGTCTTTATTTTTACAGCTTTGAATGACACATGGCAACCCTAGTGTTTTAAATGGAATCTTGTCTGATTGCTATTTATTCTCTCCACTTGTACTGATTTCTCACCAGCACCAAGAACGCAGCCTGTTTTCCCTTCATGGAAAAGATCCATGGTCTGAGAGAGACTATATGGAGCCAGGTAGTGTGAAAATTAAAAGATTACTTAGTGTCACTGGAGTTAAGGAACTCATGGAGGTTGAGTTGACAACAGATACATTTTTACAAAACAATCTCTTTCAGTTAACAATTCATGCTGTTCTTAAAACCACTAACATTGAACAAATATTTATTTGGGAAGGAGGCTGGGAGTGGCTGGGAGTGGATAAACTATAGAATAGTTACAAACATCGAGAATATTCTTGATAGAAGTGAACATAAAATGACTATATTTAGGCCCTCAAGAAAGTAGAAAAGAAAAGCAAAAAGTTTAAATGTTCAGTTAGAGGGAATCAACTGTTATAATCTATAAGAGAAAAAAAAAGAATACAATGGTTTTAAAGCCCAGTTCTGAGTGCAGTAACAAACTGTTCTACAGAGATAAAATAAGAGACAATAAATTGCCTGCAAAATGCCACTAGGACAGAGTCTGAATGGTGCCATTCAGAGGGTCAGAAATCTGAACACGGATAACTGGCCGTGTGAGCTTGGCCAGCTCATTGACACTTTCCTGGCCCCAGTTTCCTCAATCATGGGAAGCTATTCTTTACTTTCTAAGATGTCTAAAAGTTCCATGATTTAAATAGAAGAGCCATAGAAAGCATCCATCATAAAAGGTCAGAGGTGGGGACTGACAGACTGTAATGCCTCAAACGACTCCAAGAAGTCAAAGGGTCTTATTTGTGAGATGTGCTATCTTCTAATGAAAACAATTGACCACGACGTTAAAGCATGTGCCATTCATGGAGGGACAAAAGGATTCAGGCTATCAAAAGAAATGGTCAATACACCTGTGAAGCATCCTGACATTGTTCTTGAACTCTAGCTCACATTTCCAACAGCCTGGATCTTGCCAGCACTGCAAATTCAGTTTGTTCTAAAGATAAATCCCACCCACCCCCCCCAAGAGCTTTTTCTCTTTTTCTATGTTCCTCATATTTAGCAATGATAAAACTGGTTCCAGTCACGGAAGACCAAAACCTGTTTGTCATCCTTCACATTCCTAATGCTCCCAAACCATCTGGTTCTCTTTTTGTGATATCTCTTGAATTTTTGTCTTCCTCTCTGTCCTCAACCCCTCTCCCTCTATTCCTGGTCTTTTTCCTCTCCCTCTCTCCTCTGGGTCTCCATCCTTGTTCTCTCTCTTCCGGGTCCCCATCCTCATCACCACTCCTCTGGTTCTAGTCCTTGGGACCCCTCCACTGGAGTACTGGCATGCCCTCAGACAGATCTCTTTTCTGTCCTTCTTCCCGCCTCCAGTCCCTCTTCTACACACTGCAGCTGGATTAATCTTCCTTGAGTGCATCTGATCATCTCACCACCTTCTCAAAGAGCTCAGAGTCCTCCTCCCCCCATTCATTTCCTACAGAGTCAAGTACAAACTAGCCAGGCACAAGAGAAGCACTCAGAATAAGTCTGAAATAAACTGAATCCTCAGTTAAAGGACCTGGAATATAAAACATCATTTAGCGGTTTCACAACTATCTCCTCTGGAATTACTAGGAAGTTTTTAAAAAATAAAGTGTGGCTAGATCCATTCCTCCAAGAAACAAATTAGGAGTTGGTGCATGAACCCACTTGAAAGCAGCCCCCACAACTTCTGGTCCAACCCAGACTACTTTCTTGTTTGATCTGAAAGTAAACGCAAATGTAATGAATAGAATTGGCTCAGCCTTCACACTGAACCAGCCTAAATATAACTATTGAACCCACTGGCATGATGGCTCACTTTTACAGCCTTCAGACACATTGCAGTCCATATCGTATCTTCCGAAAAAACAACTAAAAACAGAATGTTATAATTTAGCCCAAAAGCTGAAATAATGAGACATTCAACAACAAAGCTTGAAAGGACCATGGGAAGGCAGAGACGAAGAAGGGCATGTGAAGTGTTGACAGGCAGGAGTGGAGGCTCTTTATGTAGCCTTATCCCATTTAAAAGTTATTTTGTCGCTTCAGGAAGTCAAGGGTGACTGACCCTTGCCTACTGACTCAGTTCAGTTTCACGAAGCTCAACAAGTGTAGGTTTCAGGACAGCACATATTTGTGTGATGATTTATAGCACTAGAGCAGACACAAAGAGAGCACCTCCCTATGTCGGGAATCAACCCAGTCCTTGCTATGGACTACTCGTCTTAGCCCTCCATCACCAGATATCTATTTAGAGTGTGTCATGTGCCTGTTTTAGGAATTGGAAAGATGGAATTGAACAAGATACATATGGTAACACCCTCTTGGGGTTTATAACGAAGTATGGAAAAAGATATTAAACAAGTATTACAAGTGTGAGGATTATTCATAAGAATGCTAGGGTATTTAAGCAGACAATCAAAGGGGGCACCTAACCCAGTCTAGGGATGGGGAAAGTCTCCCAGATGCAGGGATGAATAGATGTCGTCTAAGTGAGGCGTCTCCAGGTGAGGAAACAGCACACTGCACGGACCCCCTAGGAAAAAGGAGTTCTTCTCTCAACCCAGGGTCTGCTCCAGCTCCATGGGTGAGATTCCATGGAGGGATTTGGGACCCCAGGTAGAAGAGAGACATCTTAACAAGTTTTGTCATCAGGAATATGCCTTTCCTGGGATCTTTTGGAAGTTCTGGGAAGAAGTACATAGGTGTGTATAAAAGGAGGGCGAGATGTAATAGTTTTCCCAAGTTTGAAGATCTCTAGGTCTCATCTTGCCTTATCAACCAAACAGAATCAGATATTTGAGATCCTTGGTTTCTTTCTTTTCTCTCTATTCCTGCCCCCCCATTTAAAAAAAAACCTCAGAGCCACATCTAGCTCAATGTTTTATAAATTGCCAGGACACAGAAAGAGAACCACATGGGTGTGTTTGTATTTTTAATATATATTAAAATAAATGTATGATTGAATGCATATGGGCTTCATTCGATTGTGTGTGTGTGCGTGTGTGTGTGTGTATGTATGTTTCCAAGAAAGCCTTTCTGTTGACAATATAAAGTCACAAATAGGAGAAATGGAAGGTCTCTGAAAACAATTACCTGAATATGGCAATTACAGAAAAGATTTTGGTGGCCATAGTGGTTTCTGGTTGCTGGCTTATCACTGTTCTTTTAGGGCATGCAGACAACAGATTGCAATAAAACTCTTTTGTCACCTTGGCACATCTACTGCCAAGGTGACAAAAGAGTTTTTGCCATGTAGCATATACAGATTAAGAAGTAAACTTTACATACACACATGCACGCACACACACGTAACATAAACATTATATTTATATTAGGTTTAGGCCTGTATGTGTAGCTAATTGATCACTTGGGCCCACACTAATAATCTCTCTCACAATGAATATTGAGAGATATCTATTAGGAGATGATAATTTCATTTCATTGAAACCCTAACTGAATTAGCATGGTTGTGATAACATTTACTGGATTGACAGTGACCAACAAGTAAAATGCCTGAACTGTGACGCCTAATGGAATCTAAAATGAAGCTCTAAGTTCTCCTAATGACCAGGTAATGGCTCTAAAGCCTCTGCAGTGGCTGTGAAATAAAGCCGGGATATGCACTCTAAAAGCCCTTAGCTTCGTCCGACAGAAATTTCTTATACTGCCCATTTTCTCTTTAGTTCCTCTATTTTTCTTCTTCATCCTTGGGGAATTAAGACATACCACTAAGTTGGAAGTCATTTTGTTCTTATCATCAGAGTAGAATTAAAGCAAAAATAACTTTTTGAAACAAGACTAGTTTCCTTTGAAAAAGTATGTTAACAGATATAAAGAGAATATGATTCTGTATCTTGAAAGAGAAGAAATGCATTTATTCTTGTGTTGATGGGCCTGAAAGCTATTGTCAAGACATAAGTGAGGACTTTGAACTCAAGATTTAAGGTTTTGAAAAGGTTCTAACATGAAGAGTTCACTGACATTATAGATCAACCAGAGGAACCTTCCTATTCAGAAAATTGGATTTCTATTGTACTGCTTACTGCCTTTAAGTATAATCAACAAGATGGAGCCTCCAGATATGGAGAAATTGCTGAAGAATAAGGAAAAAATAATTTAAAGTCAAAGTGGTAAAACTTATTTATCTTAGATGGTTATAAGCTACATGTATGCTTTTTCTCAGGCTTAAAATGCTTTATTGTTTGATTTTTTGCAAAATGAGGACATTTCCTAGATATGATTCACTACTATGGGATCAGAAAAACAACACCGGAAACATTTCTACATCTTTTAAAACCAGAAACACCAAACAAATTGCAAGAGCAAACTAAATTCTAAAAAATATTTTTGACACATGCTATAAATGTTAATAACTTTAATATGCAAATAGTTATCACAATCCAACAAAAGACGGAATCTTCCAGCTTAAAAAATGAGCAAAAGACATAAGGAGATAATGTACACATTAATAAATACAAATGAGCATTTAATATTCTAGAATGTTCACCTTCATTGGTAATTTAACAAAATAAAACACTACTTTATAGTTTTGAATATCATATTAATAAAAAGTTGTTGAAAATTGAACACTATCATTGTGGAAGCTGGCTTGGAACAAGAGGCACTCTCATAGACACCATGTTATAAGCCATTCCAGCTTTCCATAGGGCAGTGTAGTAATATATCTAGTTTATATTTGCATATTAAACCAAATGCATATTAACACTTAATCCAGTACTTTCACTTTTGGGCAATTAATCCAAGGATGTAGGCAGA